CAGAATATATAGATAACTCCTAAAACTCAACAACAACAAAATGAACAAATTGATTAAAAAATGGGCCAAGGACTTGAGTAGACATTAAAAAAAAAGATATTCAGATGGCCCATAAGCATATGAAAAGACACTCAACATCACTAGTTATTAAGGAAATGCAAATTAAAACCAAAATGAGATACCACCTCATCCTCAATGGAATGGCTACTATCAAAAGACAGAAGGGAGGGAGAAAGAAAGGAGATAGGAATTAAAAATATCAGGTGTAGTTGAGGATGTGGAGAAGTTGGAACTCTTGTGCATTGTTGATAGGAATGTAAAATGGTACAGCTGCTGTGGAAAATGGTGCAGCTATTGTGGCAGTTGCTCAAAAAATTAGAAATAGAATTACTATATGATCCAGCAATTCCACATCTGAGTATATACCCAAAATAATTGAAAGCAGAATCTGAAAGATATTTTCACATCCATGTTTATGGCAGCATTATTCACAAAAGCCAAAAAGTGAAAGCAACCCATATGTCCATTGATGGATGAATGGATAAACAAATTGTAGTATGTTCATACAATGCAATATTGTTCAGATTGAAAGTGTTAAACATAATTTTACCATCTTGCTCAACAATTCTACTCCTAGAAATATACCCAAGAGAAATGAAAAGATACTCAAATGCTTGTACACAAATGTTCAAATGTACATGTTTGTACTGCATGTATTCATATTTGTCCTGCAAATGCAAAAATCTGAATACTGTACCATATGTATGTATACACACATATGCATGTGTGTATGTATCTCTATATATAATATGCTATTGGTGAATATTCTTAACATTGTGTAAGTAACCACCCAACACTTTTTTTACAATGATGCAAAAATATAAAAAGGAGTATTATTAAGTGAGAATATTTGTATACAATTTCCCTATCCCAGAGAATGTCTCCATCATGCATATTGACCCAATGATCCCTTATATACTCCTCTTACAAGAAAAACTGAGACATGATGAAAAATTTTGGAGAGTTTATTTGAGCAAACAGCAATTTGTAAATCAAGAAACACCAAACCAAAAGAAGCATAAGGGACAGGTTTTTACAGAGTGAATGTGGAAATAAAGAAAATATTTGATGGGTTACAGTTGTACAGTTGCCTTATTAGGTCTATTCCATTAGAAAGTCCCTAGTTATGTAAGTTAGTTGGCAGCTTCTGACTGGTTAAGCATGTATCATATATCTCTGATAACCTGCTTTAAAGTCTGCTCTATCTGAAACTAATTGGCTATCCCCAGTTTCTTTTCATTAGTACTAGCATTCAGATATTAAATTGTACCAGCATCATTTATTGTACAGATCTTATTTTCCCATTGAATTACATTGGCAACTCAATAGTGTACAATTGCCTAGGTTCAGCTCATGTGGAGAAATGGTAAATGACCTAGTGAAGAAAATGCTAGAAATCCTCAGGGTGCCCAGGCAGGGCTCCTCCTCTCTAGAATTGAATTTTTGTTATTCTCATTACTTCTACCACTCTCCGATGTCTTTGGAAATACAAAAAATACCACTGTTATTATTTGTCTAGTGTTTTTTCCAGGTGTTGAAGTGGGAGCATTGGCCTAATACAACTTAGTAACTATATCTTTTTTTAGGAGTGGAACACAGAATGACATAATATGATTCCTTCTTGTAGACGGCAAGCCACCCAGATGCCGAGGCAAGGGATTGAGGGCATGAGCTGTTCCAGTATAATAAAATATATAAAATAAGAATAGTTATACTAGATATAGATAATAGATATGATTATGTATGAATATCATTAATCATTAGTTTGTAGCAGTTACTCTTTATTCCAATATTATAATAATCCTTGCTCTACAATTATAACTTAGGAAAAACCAGGCCATACAGAGATAGGAGCTGAGGGGACATAGTGAGAAGTGACCAGAAAACAAGAATGTGAGCCTTCTGTTATGCCCAGGCAGGACCACCAGAGGGCTCCTTGGTCTAGCGGTAATGCCAGCGTCTGGGAAGATGCCCGTTGCCAAGCGGACCGTGTTCTAGTGGTAGCATCAGTCTCAAGGAAAAACACCCGCTACTTAGCAGACCAGGAAAGGGAGTCTCCCTTTCCCCAGAGGAGTTCACAGAAGACTCTACTCCTCCACCTCCTCTGGAGGGCCTGACATGAGTCAGGCCCACCTGCAGTTATCCGGAGGCCTAACCGTCTCCCTGTGATGCTGTGTTTCAGTGGTCACGCTCCTAGTCCGCCTTCATGTTCCATCCTGTACACCTGGCTCTGCCTTTTAGATAACAGTAGCAAATTAGTGAAAGTACTAGAAGTCTCTGATATGCAGAAATAATAGCGTAAGTTCTCTCTCTCTCTCTCTCCTCTCTTTCTCTCTGCCTCGGCTGCCAGGCAGGGAAGGGCCCCCTGTCCAGTGGACACATGACCCACATGACTTTACCTATCATTGGAGATGGCTCTCACTCCTTACCCTGCCCCTTTGTCTTGTATCCAATAAATATCAGCGCGGCCTGACATTCGGGGCCACTACTGCTCTCCGTGTTTTGGTGGTAGTGGTCCCCCGGGCCCAGCTGTCTTTTCTTTTATCTCTTTGTCTTGTGTCTTTATTTCTACAATCTCTCCTCTCCACACACGGGGAGAAAAACCCACCGACCCTGTGGGGCTGGACCCTACACTTCCAAATTAAAATAAAATTGTAATGAATCAGGATTTATAAGCTGATATACAAAATAAAGTATAAATAATGTTTATTATCATTATACAATTATTTAACTATTAAAGAAGAATGAACTCCATTACTTTATGCTTATGAATGACCCATACTCTCATTTTATGAACTTGGAAACTTTATTTGATAACCCATCCTTGATATTAAGATTCACATTATTAATATCAGGCTGGATGCAGTGGCTTATTCCTATAATCCCAGCACTGTGGGCAACCCAGGCAGGGTGAGTGGATCACTCTAGCCCAGGAGTTCGAGACCAGCCTAGCCAACATGGCAAGACCTTGTCTCTACAAATAATTAAAAAATAATTAGCCGGGTGTGGTGGCAGGTGCCTGTAGTCCTAACTGCTCGGGAGGCTGAGGTGGGAGGATCACTTGAGTCAGGGAGGCAGAGGTTGCAGTGAGCCGAGATCGCAACACTGCACTCCAGTCTGGGTGACAGAGTGAGACCTTGTCTCAAATAAATAAATAAATAAATAAATAAGATTCACTATTATAATTCAAATAATCATTTCAATAATATATAATTATGTTTTCTATTCAGTAATTAAGTAGTAATGCTAGTTACAAGGCTGAAAAAGTATTCCTGAAAATCTTCAATTTATGAACTGAAGTTTGATGTTATAACAAGATAGATATTCAAACCACCACCTTCAGGTACAGTTAATGTAGTAGATTGCACTCTGAAATATCCAAATTAATGCCCAAATTAAAAAATAATATTAAAGAATAAAGATGCCAACGTGGTTGTAGGTATATGTTAAGGATGTGTCATTTCTAAGGTATATTCTTATGGGGAAAACTAGTCTTAAAACATATGGGTATTCTATGGACCTAACTGGTGTATGTAGAATTCATTTGGATTTTTTTCTGAGGAAAATCTTCAAACATGAAGTAGAAAGAATATGCCTATTATTTCACGGAACACATTTTCTTTTCTTTTTCTTTTTTCTTTTGTTATGAAACAGAGTCTCCCTCTGTCGCCCAGGCTTGAATGCAGTGATGCCGTCCTGGCTCACTGCAACCTCCACCTCGTGGGTTCAAACAATTCTCCCACCTCAGTGCCCATCCCCGCCTGCCTCACCTCCAGTAGCTGGGATTACAGGAGCGCACCATCATGATCAGCTAAGTTTTTGTATTTTTTGTAGAGAGGAGGTCTTGTTATGTTGCCCGAATTTGTCTGGAACTCCTGAGCTCAGGTGATCTGCCCGCCTTGGCCTCCCAAAGTGTTGAAATTACAGGCATGAGCCACTGCGCCCAGTCGTGGCATATTTTCATTGCCTAGATTAAACACTGTATTTTGCTATATTTGTTGTTACTTTTTGCACAAAACATTTGAAATTCTTAAGTATTGCATCTCTAAAAGTTAAGCACATTTTTTACAGAACCACAATGCATATTAGTATCGCAGCCAGTAAATATAACAATAATTTCTTAATATTATAAATAGTTCAATTTTAATAAAAATTAACCTATTTGTTCCTAAAATGTCTTTTACAGTTGATTTGCTTAAACCATATCCAATACAAAACTATGCATTTGACTTGTTTGTTATGTCAGTAGTCACATTCGCATCCATAACTTGGCGGTGTTTAGAAGGGCACCGTGTAATAGAAACCTTTAAAATAAATTGGAAACGCTGACATTTCCCAGGGAGCAGGAGCGAGTGCACAGGCTTATGGGAAATGTACTTTTTTTCTGGTATTGGCGCGGGGGGAGGGGGGGAGGGGTGGGTCTTTTTGCGCGCGCGCATTCCCTCCACTTGTTGGTAAATTGACTCCCCTCAAGGGCTGGGCCACACCACTGGGGAGCAGGGAGGGGCGGGTGAACCCCAGAGGGTTAGGCGAGGGTCCAGGGGCATTGGCGTCTCTGTCGCGGGAGGCGTGCGTGGGCTTCAAGTAATGCAAACGGGTGGGAGGCTGAGGCCGGGGGATCGCTTGAGCCGGGGAGGCGAAGGCGACGGTGAGCCGAGATGGCGCCACTGCACTCCAGCCGGGGTGAACAGAGACAGAAAGAGAGAGAGAGAGAGAGACCCTGTCTCAAAAAAAAAAAAAAAAAAAAAAAGAAAGAAAAGAAAAACAAGTTTAGAGGTGAACTGACTTACAGATCATATAAACCAGCAGCTGCAGGACCTGGATTTTGAACTCTGTTCTCCATGTCTCCTTGTTCTTTAATTATCCGTGTCTAAACCCAGCATCATTATTCAGCATTGAGCACTGATGTGCCTTCACAAACTTGGCAGCGTGTGTTTGGGATTCTGCCGCGTGTGTTTCCGGGATTCTTGATGTTTCTTCTGAGCTCCAGGGTCAGGCAGTATGATTGATGTTTCTAAGCCAGGTAAGCCTTGTCCAGCATTTGTCCTTGAGGGACTCTGTTTGAATTCGTAAATGGCCCAGGCCTTGATTCTCAGAGAAAGTATGTTATCTGAAGGTCAGGTTGAAGATTCCAACTGAATTTACTTTGTCCCCTTGTCCCAGCATCCTTGGAACAAAGTAGCTTTTGAGGTAATAAGGAGTAGTTCATAAGAACCCACGTGGAAGGTCACACTTCTGATCTGAGACCTTTCAGCAGAGCCTGAGGGCAGAGTGGAAAAGGCCAGGAAAGAACATGTCCGGAACTGCCTCCTCACTGAAGACATTCTTGCTGCTCCTGTACAGTTAAGTAACACTTGGTGATGTCAGCACATGCGGAAAACAGGGCAGACTGTCCAGTGGATGGGCTTTCAGGAGGAGATTAGCTGCCAGCGTGAGCAAGGGGCAGGCAGCACAGGAGAGGACATGTCACTGCCCACTGTGAGGATTGTGAGAACACAGTCTGGGGAAGGCATCGCCTAGATGGGGAACTCGTCCCTGTGCTCCTCCATCAGCCTGCTCCTTCCTGTCTACTCACTGTCTTTGAAGCCTGTAGAGATGCATCATTGTTCCTATTCTGATGTTACAAAAATCAAGTGACAGTGTTGTATAAAGGTGAAAAAAATGGGCCTAGAAGATATGACTTATTTAATCATGTCATTTGTTAGTGGCATACTCAGAAAATAACTCATTAGGGCTGGGCTCAGTGGCTCATGCCTGTAATCCCAGCACTTTGGGAGGCCAACGTGGGAGGACTGCTTGAGCCCAGGAATTCAAGACCAGTCTGGGCAACATAGTGAGACCCGGTCTCTAGAAAAAAAAATTATCTGGCTGTGGTGGTGCGTACCTGTAGTCCTACTTAAGAGGCTGTGACTTGAGGATCACTTGAGCTTCAGCCCAGGAGTTCAAGGCTGCAGTGAGCTGTGAATCGTGCCACTGTGGTCCAGCCCAGGCAACAGAGCCAGACCCCATCTCAAAACAAAAAACAAAAAAGTCTAAGTGCCATCCAGTCTTAAACAATTAAGCCATATCAAGTTTTTAAAATTAAAAGATCCTTTTGAGAAACTGCAACTGAGTTAAAACAAACAATTAAAACTCCCCCATTGTTTTCTGGAAATGTTGAGGAGGATTTTCTAACTGAAGGGACAAGTGCTATCATTAAGAAGGCTGAGAAACAGTACAGCCAGGGCATTTTTTCCAGTGTTTTAATGATGGCTCAGTCTTTCTTTTCTGTATTGTAATTTGCTTAATTGACTGTCTGCTGTTTTAAACTTTTCTTTTAACCAATGGGAGGGGAACATGCACTTTTTATGAATCAGTAGGAAATATTTACACTGATTTAATGAAGAATTGCATGTCTAAACTTTTGGTGACCTGTCAGAGTCAGCATGGACATGTGGGTGTTCCTCCACAGGGTCTTTCCTGTTCTTCGGGTTAAAGGGACATTGCCCTCGGGGGCCTTGCATGCAAGTTTTGTAGGCAGGTGAGCCTGTGTGCTGCACGGTAGCCAGGCTGCACAGGATCTCATTCTCTTTCCTTCTTCCCCAGCTTTACCTTTATAATTCTCTTCCATTCTCCATGAGTAACAAGAAACGAACGGACCTCAGGTGAGTTGTTTATTCTCACTTTGTTTTACAATGGACTTTGTGAGATTTATAAGGGGACAGAAATTAAAACAGAAAAAATAGAAATAGATAAAACTCATCATCAGGGAAACTATAAAGTAGCAGGTCAGTAACTGAGCAAAGTCAGTTTTCGATACATGCAGGTCCTGTAATGTCCCAGATTATCCAAGTTGAGCTGCAGATTTGCCTCTGATCTTTCTGACAGCAAAAGAGAATTCAAAGAAAAGTCTTTCAGGAGATGAAAACATTGGGGTTCAAGTGGACAGTTTTTCAGTGGTCTTGCTTCATCCAGAGATAAGATTCAGAGTATCCAGAAGAAGGCTGAATGGTCTGCATACCCTTAACATAGCTCTGCTTGAACAATTCCCTCCCTTCATCTGTGGTACTACACGTGAGACTGCCACTCACTCTGCTTCCTTGCTGACACTTGGTGTTGTCAGACTTTAGACTTCTTGCCAATGTAACTTCTGTGAAAACTCTGTCATTTTAATATGTATTTTTCAGATTACTAATGAGCTTATCTATCTTATATTTATGTTTTTTTGTGAACAGATTACTATTCTTGAATCATTTTTCTATATTATTTTTAAGGCTCTTCTATATATTATGGAGAATAATTCTTTGTGTATTATATTTGTTACCAACTCTCCAAGTTTTTCTCTTGTATTTTACTTATGCAGTGCCTTTGGCTTTATGAGAATGTTTTTATCTAGGCTGATCTGTTGAGTTTTTTGTATTTGAGTTTTTAAAATCTTATTTTAAAGTTCTTATTTAATTCAATATAATGATGTTTTTTTTTTTTTTTGAAACGGAGTCTTGCTCTGTCACCCAGGCTGGAGTGCAGTGACACAATCTCAGCTCACTGCAACCTCCACCTCCTGGGTTCAAGGGATTCTCGTTCCTCAGCCTCCTGAGTAGCTGGGTCTACAGGTGCGTGCCACCACGTCCAGCTAATTTTTTGTATTTTTAGTAGAGATGGAGTTTCACCATGTTAGCCAGATGGCCTCGATCTCCTGACCTCATTATCTGCCTGCCTCGGCCTCCCAAGGTGCTGGGATTACAGGTGTGAGCCACCATGCCCAGCCAATATAATGATATTTTTTAAAAAAATGTTGTTTAGGCCGGGCGCAGTGGCTCACGTCTGTAATCCCAGCACTTTGGGAGGCTGAGGCGGGCAGATCACCTGAGGTTGGGAGTTCGAGATCAGCCTGGCCAATATGGTGAAACCCCATCTGTACTAAAAATACAAAAATTACCTGGGCGTAGTGGCGGATGCCTGTAATCCCAGCTACTTGGGAGGCTGAGGCAGGAGAATCACTTGAACCTGGGAGGCGGAGGTTGCAGTGAGCTGAGATCATGCCACTGCACTCCAGCCTGGGTGACAGAGCGAGGCTCCATCTCAAAAAAAAAAAAAAAAAAGAAAAAAGAAAAAACGTTGTTTTATGTTTATACACTGCTGGTGGGAATGTAAATTAGTTCAGCCACTGTGGAAAGCAGTTTAGTGATTTCTCAAAGAACTTAAAACAGAACTACCATTCTACCTAGCAACCTCATTAGTGAGTATATACCCAAAGGAATATAAGTCATTCTGCCATAAAGACACATGCACACATATGTTCATCGCAGCACTATTCACAATAGCAAAGACATGGAATCAACCTACATACCAATCAATAGTAGACTGGATAAAGAATATATTGTACATATGCACCATAGAATACTATGCAGCCATAAAAACGAATGAGATCATGTCTTTTGCAGCAACAAAAGGTGGAGCTGGAGGCCATTATCCTGAGTGAACTAACACAGGAACAGAAAACCAAATACTGTATATTCTCACTTGTAAGTGGGAGCTAGACATTGAGTACACATGAACACAAAGAAAGGAACAAGAGACACTGGGGACTATTTGAGGGTAGAGGATAGGAGGAAGGTGAATGTCGAAAAACTACCTGTGGAGTACTATGCTTATTACCTGGGTGACAAAATAATCTGTAAACCAAAATTCATGACATTCAACTTACCTATATAACAAACCCGTACATGTACCCGTGAACCTAAAATAAAAGTTTTTTAAATTTTTAAATTAATATACTATTTCTAGTGTTTTCTTTTTTCTTTCTTTTCTTTTTTTATTTTTATTTTCAACAGAGACAGGGTCTCATTATGTTGCTCAGGTGTGTCTTGAACTCTTGGGCTCAAGCAATCCTCCTACCTCAGCCTCCCAAAGTGCTGGGAAAACAAGCATGAGCCACCACACCTGGCCTACTTCTAGTATTTTTCAATACTAGAAAAATATTTAAGTCTTGACTCAATCGGGAACTCATTATTGTAGATAATATGAAGACAAATCTAATTTTACTTTTTTCCACATAATACCAGTTGCAGCGAAGCCTAGTTATTAGCGTTTTTCTCCAGTGAATTATAATGCCACAGTTATCATTACATGTATTACTATGTCTGTGTAATTTTTCTTCCATTCGTCCTTAATTAATTCTCCATTAGGTTCATCTTGTCCTGTCTCACCCTTTTTACTGGTCTTACTGAGTGACAGCTGGCATCCTTACCTTGCACCTGATTTTCAGAGATAACTCAGGAAGTGTTAGCAAACACGAGAATACTTTTTTATTTTTGACGAAGTCTTGTTCTGTCGCCAGGTTGGAGTGCAGTGGCGCGATCTCAACCTACTGTAACCTCTGCCGCCCGTGTTCAAGCAATTCTGCTTCAGCCTCCCAAGTAGATAGGACTACAGGCGTGTGCAAACACGCTCAGCTAAATCTCATATTTTTAGTTGAGATGGGGTTTCACCATGTTGGCCAGGGTGGTCTCGATCTCTTGACCTCGTGATCTGCCTGCCTCAGCCTCCCAAAGTGCTGTGATTACAGACATGAGCCACTGTGCCCGGCCAACAATGGAATACTTTCTGTAGGCTTGGAGTCCTTATTCACTATCCTGTTATGTAAGTTTCTTCCTACACCTTACTTGCCAGGAGAAATTTTTTTTTAAGTTTTGATGTCCATTATACCTTTTGTGTTTTCTGTACCTTTAAAGATAGATTTTGATTACTAATTTGATTTCTTAGTTGGTTTATAGTTTTTCTGGTTTTCTAATAACTCTGGTACAATTTTGGATACACATTTATTGTATTTTTTCACACACTTATTTTAAAATTGTACATTTTTAAAGGTTTTTTATTTATATTAATCTTTAAAAGGCATGATTCTTAAAATCTTTAATCTGTAGTTAATGTTAATTTTTCATTCCAGTTTTTATCACTTATTATATTGCACTTTAATATGGAAACTGTTGATTAGAAAATGAAAAACTGTCTTCTGGCTGGTCAAACATCTGAAGACCTAGGTTGGCTACTGGGTTTTTTCAACATGCTCCCAATCTTTTGTTGTTAAAGGAATTAGAATGTTTATTACATTTATAAGGTTAATTTTTATTCAAATGGCTTTCTTCTTTTTGTCTTTTGTTACTGCTTTTAATTATTTGGAGAAGGTTATATGCTTTTCATAATGATGACATCCCATTGAAACCCATCTGTCTCCCACCTCCCTATTGTGGGGTGGCTATTTCAAGTTCATCAGATAAGCCAGAAGCTAATCTCCACCTCTTAAATTGGTATGTGAAAAACAGAAAAAGCCCCATACAAAAGAGTATACCTGAAAACAAATATACCTGAAACTAATAGTGTGCTAAAACTGCCAAGATTTTACTCACATTTTTGTATAGTGTATTCACATCTAGCATAATAAATGGCCAATAAAATACTGTAGAAATAAATAACAAAGGCTGGACGTGGTGGCTCATGCCTGTAATCCCAGCAATTTGGGAGGCTGAGGCAGGCAGATCACGAGGTCAGGAGATTGAGACCATCCTGACTAACACGGTGAAACCCTGTCTCTACTAAAAATACAAAAAATTAGTCGGGCGTGGTAATGGGTGCCTGTAGTCTCAGCTACTCGGGAGGCTGAGGCAGGAGAATGATGTGAACCCGGGAGGCAGACCTTGTAGTGAGTTGAGATCATGCCACTGCACTCCAGCCTGGGAGACAGAGTGAGACACCATCTCAGAAAAAAAAAAAAAAAAAAAAAAAAAAGGAAATAACAAAGTATAAGAAAAACAAAAACATAGACCATTTTTCAACCTCAACGTGGGAACCTGACTGTCAGAGCTAAAGTATACTTCCAGTACACATTTTTGTTTTTAGATAGTGGGGTCTCACTCTCTTGCCCAGGATGGAGTGCATTTGTTCAGTCATGGCTCACTGCAGCCTTGACCTTCTGGGCTCAAGCAATGTTCCAATCTAAGCCTCCCATGTAGCTGGGACTACAGAAGTGCACACTCACACTTGGCTAACTTTTTTTTTATTTTTTAAAAATTTTATTTATTTATTTATTTAGAGACAGAGCCTCGCTCTGTCGCTAGGCTGGAGTGCAGTGATGCCATCTTGGCTCACTGCAACCACCGCCTCCCAGGTTCAAGCAATTCTGCCTCAGCCTCCGAGTAGCTGGGACTACAGGCATGTGCCACTATGCCCAGCTAATTTTGGTATTTTTAGTAGAGTTGGGGTTTCACCATGTTGATCTCTTGACCTCGTAATCCGCCTAACTCCGCCTCCCAAAGTGCTGGGATTACAGGTGTGAGCCACTGTGCCCGGCCTAACTTTTTATTTTTTAGAGACAGGGTCTCCCTATGTTGCCCAGACTGGTCTTGAACTCCCAGGCTGAAGTGATTTTCCAGCTTCAGCCTCCCAAAATGCTGGATTACAGGCATGTGCCACCATTCCCAGCCCTAGTATACATTTTTTAAGAGCTCTCCGAAAGGGAGAAAATTAGTCATTCCCAAATACACCTCACTATACATCTGCCTTCCAAACTTTTCTTCTATTCATCCAGGTGGGTTTTTAATTTAATTAATTAATTAATAAATTAATTTAGATGGAGTCTCGCTCTGTCGCCCAGGCTGGAGTGCAGTGGCGCGATCTTGGCTCACTGCAAGCTCCGCCTCCTGGGTTCACGCCATTCTTCTGCCTCAGCCTCCCGAGTAGCTGGGATTACAGGCACCCGCCACCACGGGTGGCTTATTTATTTATTTATTTTGTATTTTTAGTAGAGACGGGATTTCCCCATGTTAGCCAGGATGGTCTTGATCTCCTGACCTCGTGATCTGCCCGCCTTAGCCTCCCAAAGTGCTGGGATTACAGGCGTGAGCCACCGTGCTTGGCCCCAGGCAGGTTTTAAGTACAACTGAAAGAAAAGATAAAGCTTGTGGTTCATTCATCCACTTCCTACTAGAGTGGAAGTAGTGTCCTAACACTTCAGGTGTTCTTAGTAAACTAAGCTGGAGGAATTTTTCCCTTGTTCTAGTCCAGAGCAAATACTTGTTTATCGAGAAATATATAACTCCTTCCCCTATCTGTGTTAGTCACCTATAAAGAGATGAATACAGGCTGGTATTCTGTTCCTCTAGGCTCCTCACTCAACACAGCTGATGTTACAGAGTTCATATTTTCTGAGAAGAAATTTTTTTACAATAAAGGTACCAGAGAGAGGTTGAATGCCATCAGCTCTGTGTACTTGGGTACATTTTTGGATGAGTAAGCTAATAAATCATCTGTTGTTCTATAATTATGTTTGCACCCTGCCTGAGAGAAAAAGATCTTCATTGCCCTGTCCCTTGAAAGCACTGACAAGGGGTTATCAAAAAAGACACTTCTGAAAATGGCTTATCTTTCTAGATTACCATAAAACACCATTTTAGTTGACACTGATATTCAGCAGACACTTTTTGAGCTCTTCCTGAAATGTTTGCCATCTCCACCTAACGATAAGTTTATGGAGTCTGAAAAATTAATCTGTAGAGGGCATTTTTCCTCAAAGCAGTCTCCATTGGCTTTTTAGCAGTTTTTTTTTTTGAGATATAATTTTTATAATTTAACATTCATCCACTGTGTGTACAATTCAGTGATATTTATTAAATTTTAACAGTTGTGCAAACATCGCCACAATCCAATTTTACATTTATATCACCCAAAAACATTCCTTCGTGCCAATATGCTGTCAGTTCCCACTGTAACCCCCAGCCAATCACTGATCTGCCCTGTCTCTATAAAACTATCTTTCAGCCTGGCCAACATGGTGAAACCCTGTCTCTAACAAAAAATATAAACTTCAGCCAGAGGTGGAGGCACGTGCCTGTAGTCCCAGCTGCTCAGGAGGCTGAGATGGGAGAATCGCTTGAACCTGGGAAGCAGAGGTTGCAGTGAGCCAAGATTGTGCCACTGCACTCCAGCCTGGGAGACAAAGTGAGACCCTGTCTCAAAAAAAAAAAAAAAAAGTCTTTCTAAACATTCATATAAATATTTAGTCTTTTATGTCTAACTCCTTTTATTTAACAAAATGATTGTTTTAGGTTCATCCATGTTGTAGGGGTTCCGGTTTCTCCATATCCTCAACGTCATTTGTTATTGTCTGTTTTTATAATAACCATTCTAGTAATTATGTAGTGGTATCTCATTGTATGTTTAATTTGTAGTTCTCTAGTGACTAATGATGTTTGCTTTGTTTGCATGTGTGTATTTTCTTTATTTTTTGAGACAGAGTCTCGTTCCATCACCCAGGCTGGTGTGCAGTGGTGCCTTCATGGCTCACTGCAACCTCCACCTCCCGGGTTCAAGTGATTCTTCTGCCTCAGTCTCCTGAGTAGCTAGGAGTACAGACACAGGTCACCACGCCTGGGTAATTTTTGTATTTTTAGTAGAGATGGTGTTTCACTATGTTGACCAGGCTAGTCTTGAACTCCTGACCTCAGGCAATCCACCTGCTTCAGCCTCCCAAAGTGCTGGGATTACAGGTGTGAACCACCACATCTGGCCCTTGCATTTATATATTTTCTTTGATAAATGTCTCATTCAAGTCTTTTGCATGTTTTTAGAATTGGATTATTTGTCTTATTAAGTTGTAAGTCTTTTTTTTTTTTTTTTTTGAGACAGAGTCTCACTCTGTCACTCAGGCTGGGGTATAGTGGCACGATATCTTGGCTCACTGCAACCTCCACCTCCCGGGTTCAAGCTATTCTCCCGCCTCAGCCTCCTGAGTATCTGGGACTACAGGCGCCCAGCACTACACCCGGCTAATTCTTTTATTAGTAGTAGAGATGGGGTTTCACCATGTTGGCCAGGCTGGTCTCGAACTCCTGACCTCAGGTGATCTGCTCGCCTTGGCCTCCCAATGTGCTGTGATTACAGACTTGAGCCACCGTGCCTGGCCAAATTACAAGTCTTTATATATTCAAGTTATAAGACATCAGAAATATTACTTGCAAATATTTTCTACTAATATATAGCTTTTCATTGTCTCAGTGTTATCTTTCGAATCACAATAGCTATCACTTTTAGTGAAATCTAGTTTACCATTTTTTTTGTATGAATTGTGCTTTGTCTTGTCTAAGAACTCTTTGCCTAACCAATGGTCACAAAGATTTTTCTTCCATAAGTTTTATACTTTTAGCCCTTATATCTGGGTCTTTGATTCATTTTGCTTTAATTTTCATATATTGTGTGAGGTAAAGGTCTAAGTTATTAATTTTTTTTTTTTTTTGGCATGGGGATATACAATTGTCCCAGCATGATGTGTGGACATACAATTTGTTTTAATGCCAAATTTAATTTCCTCTTGAAGTATCTTGGCACTTTCGTCAAAAATCAGTTGACCAAAAAAATAAAAATAAAAAAACCAAAAACCAAAGAGCATACATACAAAAGCAGAACAGGCAAAAAAGATCAGTTGACCACTGACACATAGCATCCTGGGCATAAGTACTGTCTTGTACTTATGCCAGTGCCACACTGTCTTGATTATGGTAACTTTATAGTATACTTTATTTATTTATTTATTTATTTATTTATTTATTTATTTAATTTTTATTTTTTGAGATGGAGTCTTGCTCTGTCACCCAGGCTGGAGTGCAGCGGTGTGGTCTCAGCCCACTGCAACCTCCACCTCCCAGGTTCAGACAATTCTCTTGCCTCAGCCTCCTGAGTAGCTGGGATTACAGGTGCGTGCCACCACGCCTGCCTAATTTTTTGTATTTTTAGTAGAGACAGGGTTTCACCATGTTAACCAGGAAGTTCTGGATCTCCTGACCTTGTGATCTGCCTGACTCGGCCTCCCAAAGTGCTGGGATTACAGGCATGAGCCAACGCGCCCGGCCTATGGCATACTTTAAAATCAAGTAGTATAAGTTTTACAAATTCGTTCTCTTTCAAGATTGTTTTGGTTTCTTAGACATGACACCTAAAGCATGAGCTACCAAAGGAAAAAAAATGAATAATTTGGACATCGACAAAATTAAAACTTTTGTGCATCATCACAATATTCAGGCTTGTTTAATCCATAAACATGGAACATCTCTTTATTCAGTCCATGTAAATAAAAATTTTCATAAATTCACAAAGGTAGAATACAATTATTAACCCTACAAAATGAATTTTGAGAAAGGAAGCAGCTGTAAACTATATTGTACTTTGAAATCCATAAACAAAAGGTAGTACTGTTTAAAAAACTAAACTGCCCCGTCTCTACTAAAAAGATACAAAAAACTAGCCGGGCGAGGTGGGGGGCACCTGTAGTCCCAGCTACTCGGGAGGCTGAGGCAGGAGAATGGCGTGAACCCGGGAGGCAGAGCTTGCAGTGAGCTGAGATATAGCCCACCGCCCCCCCCCCGGGGCACGGGGAAAAAACCCAGCCCCCCTCCAAAAAAAAAAAAAAAAAAAAAAACTAAACTGATCTTTCATGCTCTTATTTTTTCAATGGAATGGTTCATGTATAAACATACATAACATTAAAACTATGCAACCTCGAGATTATGTCTACATTTTAAATTATTTGCATTATATAGTCATATAATGCATATAGCACTTTTTTTCTCGTTTTTCTAATTTTTACTGGGTTGCCTTGGAACTAAATAGTAGGCTATTGGAGCTGATATTGTTGGTTGCCTACTCTACAAGTTATTCTACATTATTTTCCTGCTGTCAGCCTGGATGTTAACCCTCTCCCACATGATTTGGGAATGACATGAAACACAGAGGCACTGTGGGCGTGAAAACAACCTATAATCAGAATATATTTGAATCCCAAATAGAATAATTCACTCTTTTTCCAGAGTAGAAGGATTCCAGTGAAATCATCCTGCCAAAAGAATCTGATTGATCTCTGCAAAAAATGCTAATATATTGAGTGCTCTGCATTGGTCTCTACTTCTGAAAAGTCAGATATTTAGCAGGAGCTTGATCAGCCTTAGTGAGATAAAACCCATGTTTTCAGGCCCAGATCTAGTGCCCATTTCCTGCTGTCGTGGCTACTCCATTCTTGGGCTTGTGTGAATACTCATGGGACCTAGGCTGACAGCCACTGGATAAATGATTCTGTCCACTGCCTTTTCTGTGGTAGCTGATCTTTGATGGACATTAACAAAAGGCTCAAAGAGCTGCACAATTTGTGTGCACTACCAGATATCCAACCCACTTCTTCTTTACAAGACCTCCTTGGCTCCAGTCTTCCAATCCTGTTCCAACCAATCAGTCTGTTTGCCAGTCTTCAAGAATCTGGGTATTACCTTAGCTCACTTTTCTTGCCACAGATAATAATATACAAGTGTGTGATTTGAAGCTGTGTTCATTGTGAGGATTTCCCCATCACCACCATCTTTCAGTGACATTCCTGAGTGGAATTTTAGTGGACATGGAAGACACCAATGTGAGAGAACCAGGCCCAGGATTCTCCTCTTATACTCTGTCACAGTGAATACATGGAGTATTCATTGTTGACTGAGAGAGAAAGATCTTTATTGAACTCTCTACATGAATTGAAGTAGAGGTAGTCATATGACAGAGGTAAGTGCCATGGGTCACCTATTTGTATCAATTACTTAAGTTGCTAAGACCTGTTCAGGCCCAATTTCCAATGTACCATTTTTGTTGTACAATAAACTGTTGTTTCCCTGCCTGTTTTATGACTTGGTGTGAGTCTGACAGTAACCCCACACCATGGGCAGCTGTAGTCACATAGTCAATAGATTACACTAAGTCAGCTGCTCAGTTTGTACTAGGATCAAGTAGTACACAGGAGCTGCTTTTGAAACAGTGAGAGTGAATAGTGCTGCAATAAACATACGTGTGCATGTGTCCTTATAGCAGCATAATTTATAATCCTTTGGGTATATACCCAGTAATGGGATGGCTGGGTCATATGGTACATCTAGTTCTAGATCCTTGAGGAATCGCCATACTGTTTTCCATAATGGTTGAACTAGTTTACAATCCCACCAACAGTGTAAAAGTGTTCCTATTTCTCCACATCCTCTCCAGCACCTGTTGTTTCCTGACTTTTGAATGATCGCCATTCTAACTGGTGTGAGATCAGTGACAGATTGGATTAAGAAAATGTGGCACATATACACCATGGAATACTATGCAGCCATAAAAAAGGATGAGTTTGTGTCCTTTGTAGGGACATGGATGCAGCTGGAAACCATTATTCTTAGCAAACTATCACAAGAACAGAAAACCAAACACCGCATGTTCTCACTCGTAGGCGGGAACTGAACAATGAAATCACTTGGACTCGGGAAGGGGAACATCACACACCGGGGCCTATCATGGGGAGGGGGGAGGGGGAAGGGATTGCATTGGGAGTTATACCTGATGTAAATGACGAGTTGATGGGTGCAGCACACCAACATGGCACAAGTATACATATGTAGCAAACCTGCACGTTGTGCACATGTACCCTACAACTTGAAGTTTAATAATGATAAATAAATTAAAAAATAAATAAATAAATAAATAAATAAATAAAAATAAAAAAAAAAGAAACAATGAGAGGTTCTTTGCTGCAGATGGCATAGTTTTGCTCCAGAATCCTAGAGGACTGTGCTGTTACTGGGCTGTTTTGGCTTGTCAGAATCCCACAGAGTGTTATGTTATACCACTGAGAACTTTAGTGCCATTGGATGAAGGACAACAGATGGAACCTGCTATGAAACCCTTTCCTGCTGTGGGCCCCATTCAAAACTGGCCTTCCTCCAAGGCATCCAGTAAGTGGGACAAAACAATATTCCCAAGTGTAGTAGGTGTTTCCCCCATGTGCAAACAGACCTTCCAGATACTTTTCCTTTTTTTAGCAGTAGGAGACGCAAGTTGTGTAATAACTTGATCTTAACACTGGGGGGAGTGTCCAACCTTGTACCAGACACCAAAATGCTGATATAGGTGTGTTTGTTTGTTTGTTTGTTTCTCAGCCTCTAGTAAACACTTATCTTACCAAGGTATGCAGAGTACTTGCCACTTTTTCCTCACCAGGTTCCATTGATGTGCCATCCATGTAGTGGCCAGGGTGATGTTTTGTGGAACTCACTGTGTACTATACTGTGACAGAGGACAGGAGAATTAACAAGACTAGGACAAGACAATATATGCTGCTATCTAGTGTAGAACAAAGTGAACTGCATTTGAGTCTTCTTCAGGGAAGTTAAAAAGGATCATTTTGCAGTTTAATAGCTGCATATTAAGCTCCAGAGATTACTGTTTTTTCTAGTAAAAGCACGATTAGCACAACAGCTATAATTATGACCATTCTGGGATTGATATTGCTTCTGATTTACCAATTTAGCCAGGGAGAGGGAAATCTTAATTAGCACCACTGGCCTTAACTACAATTAATGGCTCTTACTCCACAAGTCCAGAAGGCAGTGTGAAAGCTCTGCTGCCTGATAAGTGTATCCATTCCAATTATTCACTCAAGGGCGGAGTAAAAGACAGCAGGACGTATCTGTATACTCTGGACTTTAAGATGGACTTGGATGAGGACTCTAACATCTGGCCTTTGTACATTCATAACATGCATAATAGTGGCATTTTGGGTTCCCTGGTTTCAGTCAGATTATACTCTGAATATAAACATTCCAAAGATCTAATATTCCTTTTTTGCCAGTGTACTGTTGCTCTGGTAAATGCATAGATACCTCTTTGGGAGGCTGGGCACAGCGGTTCATGCCTGTAATCCCAGCAATTTGGGAGGCCGAGGCAGACAGATCATCTGAGGTAGAGAGTTCAAGACCAGCCTGACCAACGTAGAGAAACCCCATCTTTACTAAAAATACAAAATTAGCTGGGCATGGTGTGCATGCCTATAATCCCAGCTACTCAGGAGGCTGAGGCAGGAGAATTGCTTGAACCTGGGAGGCGGAGATTGCGTGAACCAAGATCACGCCATTACACTCCAGCCTGGGCAACAAGGGGAAAACTCTGTCTTAAAAAAAAAAAAGGAAGTCTCTTTGGGGGAAATGTTAAGGGACTAGCTATCGTATATAATTGCTATGGCTTTGGGAGGCCCTCAAAAATATTCTTCTTTCCTTCCATCTGTAAACTCGGGATCTCAGAACTGGTTCAAGGATGAAAACTGGGTGAGGGATTGTTATTATTTTTCCATTACACCACCTAATGTCAACCCATCCAATCTTGACCTGTTTTTTATTGTGTAAGCTAAATGTTTCAGATTGTGAATTGTCACTTCTCTTTTCACTTTCTTGATAACATCATTTGATGCACAAAAGTTTTTAACTTTGACAAAATCTTATTTATTTTTTGCTTTGGCTGGTTGCACTTTTGGTGCCCTATATAAGACCACATTGCCATATCCAGAATCATGAAGATTCACCCCTATATTTTCTTCTAAAAGTATTATGGTTTTATCTCCTATATTTAGGTTATATATCCATTTTGAGATAATTTGTATATATGATATGAGAGGGATTCAGCTTTTTATGCTCTCCGTTAACAGTACAGTTTCTCTCTCAATGGTAACTGCTTCCCGGGAATAAGATGGGGCATGATATGACCAGTGAATACTCCAGAGATTGTCTATTGCTAGGTATTCTTGGCTGTAAAGTGGCACCATTCTTTGACTAGATATGTTTAGAAATTTAAGCATGTGACATTGTCCACTCAGGAGTTCTTGAGTAGTATGGTCTGCATCTGCCATGCAGATAAGAATTGTTGTGCCATACCCAAAAAAGGTTTCTAGCACAGTCAATGCTGGTAGTATCCTCAAGAAGAGGATTGAGCGTCTGTATGGTCTATTTGCTAGGGCCTTCCAGATTTGGTGCCCCAAGCTATGTGCCCTGGAGTCCCTTTGCCATTTGTATTAGTTTCCTGGGGGCTGCCATGACAAAGTACCTAAAATTGGGTGGCTTAAACAATAGAAATTTATTCTCTCACAGTTCTGGAGGCTAGAGTGTAAGCCTCCAAAATGTTGTAGGACCATGTTGTTTCTGAAGCCTGCTGGGGAGAATCCTCCCTTGCCTCTTCCTAGCTTCTGGTTGTTGCTGGCAATCCTTAGCATTCCTTGACTTGTATGCACATCATTCCAGTCTCTGCCTCCATATCAAATGGTGTCCTCCCAATGTATCTCTGTGTCTACAGTTTCCTCACCTTATAAGGACACCAGTCATTAGAAAAGGGCCTACTTAATCCACTGTGACCTGATTTTAACTTGATTACATCTGAAAATACCCTATTTCCAAATAAAGTTACGTTCACATGTACCATGTGTTAGGACTTGAACATGTCTTTTTGGGAGGACACAGTTCAACCCACAACCTGCCCTCTGCCCCCCAATCCCCGCCAAAATTCATATCCTTCCTATGTGCCAAATATATTCGCCTCTTCCCAATATGCCCCCAAATCTTAACCCATTACAGCATTAACTCTAACTCTAACATCTTATCTAAATATAATAAATTCAAAAACTCCTAAATTCAATCTTGTAAATCACCTTAATCAGTCATGGTCCATCCTGGGGTAAAATTCCTCTCTGTCTACAAATCTGTGAAACTCAAAAAAACAAATCATCTTTTCCCAAAATACAGTGGTGTGGGACATAGTACTAGAGGCAAGACCACAGCTGGTGGAATGGTGATTGGCTGCACATACTCCTGGTAGATTGACTTCATTGAATTCTTCAGGTGGGTTTTGCTGTTCCAGCCTTTGAAACTGAACCAGATAATATTTCATTTAATGTACATTCATATACTCAAGTGTCTGTAACTGATAATGCTAAATTTGTTGTAAACATTGATGTTTTCATTATGTGTAATACTTCTCCGAATTGTAAGGCATGTTCCCAGTGTGGAAATTACACAATTACAGTGGATCCTGGGACAAGTGCACAGGCAGCCTTCCCTAGCCCAGTCATGTACTGTCAGTCAGTAAATGCAGGGGAAGCTTAAAAACCTTATTAAAGAGTTGGTAGAGACAGGAGTGCTTCACTGTTCAACAAACTGTACAGACTGCTCTCCCACTCAGGCCAATTAGTCCTAATAAACCTTTAGAGCTACAAATGTCAGTGCCTGGTCAGTGTACAAACTAGAGTCACCTAAGCATCAATCACACCTTTCACATACATAAAAAAGTAGCCAGTTACTTTCCCAAGTGCAGGTAGCCCAGAGGTTGGCGTCTGTTGGGTGCTGGTACACTGAAGTCCCCGAGGAGGTCCAGACTGGGCTAACAGATTAGCTGAATTAAAGGCTGAGGGGTGTACTGAGGCATTATGGCTGTGCAACTACAGAATAAAACTGTTACAAACTTTACACAAAAAAGAAAACTCCAACCAATGGGCTGAGCTATGGGCCAGGGGGTTGTCCTGGATGGCACACCTTCAAATATATCTTGCTACATTTTCACTGCCTTATGGACAACAGTCAATAAGATGGCAAGTGGTCCAAGACCTGGACACAGGAACAAGTCCTAAACCCTGTCAGGTGGTACATTATGACAGCAGATAGTCCAGTATCCTTACCTCTGTCACTCACGTGGGCTCCCATGGAAAAGACCCTTCACAATGAATACCGGTGGCATCAACAGATGTTGGGTTCGGCTGATCAGACCTGAGTTACCCAGGTAAAGACCATAGACATCTGGATATAACATCATACAGGACATGGTAGTCCTATATTCCAGGACCCTTTTTGAAATAAAAGCACATTCTAGGCTTCTGGGTAGACAAGAATTTTGAAAGCACACTATTAGACCCAGTACATTACAAGGGTCTAATTAACCATCATATCCCCGCAGTTCACGTGTCTCGAATGGTCCCCAACAACTGTGCTCTGCGCGTTTTGCAATCTCTTGCAGTGCTTCCCTGCGCTTCTGTTCCTTACAGAGACGCCCCGGAACCTTCAGGTCTGTACACCGCTTCGGGAGCGGGTTCAGCCCGAGTGGGACAGGCAGTCTAGCTGAGGAGATCTGGGCTAGGTTCAGGGTCCCGCGCGGCTCGGGGGCAGTGGGAGCGGGGGCGGGGCGTCCCTGTGAGTCAGAGGGTGGGCACGTGCGCGCGTGTCCAGGCCCCGAGCGGGGTGTGCACCTTGGCCCTGGAAGGGCGCCAGCTTTGCTTCCAGGCTGAGCTGGGTGTGAATTGGTCCCTACGGCCAGAGGATGGACCTGCGTGGGATGAGGAGTCCTCACCTGTAGAGGGATGCTGTTAATATGTCTACCAAGAAGTGTCGAAGACCAGGCTGCAATGCAGTAAAGCAAGGCATTTATTGGGGTATTAGGAATTACAATTCGGGAGACGCATTGGGCTGGAAGCCAAATTGTATTCCAAAGAGAGGTAGGGGAACAGGGGGAAAATCAGAAAGGAAGCCACGGGTGTTTACGCAAGTTCTGAAAGAATTATCCGTTGGTGGAAGCGGGTGACTTAGTACCTGAGTCCATAGTTCATTGGTTGTTACTGTTCAGGAGTTGCAACGCTGGCGAAATTCAGCTGTTTTCCGGAATTTTTGTGGTCGTTGCAGTTTGGCTCACTTCAAAGGTTCAAGGCAAGTTCCATTTTTTTTTTTTTTTTCCTGCAGTTTTGTAGGATGTACTGGCAGCCCTTAGAATGACTTCCTACCTCCAGTTTAGAGCTCTCAGTCAGAGTAAGACCATTTTGTATAGCACATCCCACTGATATGTGCCACGCGGAGTGGTTCTGAGTTTCACATTTTTGGCATATGTAAAAAATTGGCAGAGTTTAGTAGTTAACCTCAGCTGATAAGGTATTTGGAAAATAGTTTGTTCTTCTCATTAGCTCTTTCATTTAGTCCTTACAACAATCTTTATGTGACTGTTTTCCGTCTTGACAAACAAGAAAACTGAGGTTCTGAGGGTTCAGGTGAAATGGTCAAGGTCACATGTCCAGGGTAGACCACCCTATCTAAAACCATCTTGTATTCCTGAAATCATACTAAAGTGGGTGGGGGGCGGCTGAGTCTCACCTTGTAGTCATGTATTCTGGGGTTTCTCAGCATCTTGAAGCCCTTGGGTCAGGCTGCATGACTGTGTTGCTTGGACTCTTGCACTGTCCAACCTTCAGCATAGTCAGTGCCTTCAGAGTTTAGACAAGGAAGTTCTCTGAGATTTGGAACCCTGAGTGAAGCTTCTGAATAAAATGGTTTTGTCCTTTAAGCTCAGGTTTCAGCTCCTCGGAAGGAAGCAGTTCTTGTGAAGTAAGAAGAAGGGGCCTAGGAACAGGAATCCCACCTTGAAGATTGCTTCTCTAACATGAACGTTGTCAGTCCAACTTCAGAGCAAAGGCAGGAAACTGCCAGAAAGGGCAGAGCCTGATGGTTTGCACAGCCTGAAGTAATTCTTCCTCCTGCTTAGAATGAGTGATTCTCTGTAAATGTCATCACATCTGGAGGGTCTCCCCTCTATGGTGAAAGGTTTGGACCATGTTTCAGAAAAGATAGGTGACTGGACTGAGTGGTGGCAAGGGGTATGCTGGTGGAAATATTAATCTTGGAGGGTTGGTGTGGGCATGGTCTGCAGGCAGAGTTCACTGGGCATAGCTGGAGGAGTTCTAGCTCTAGTCTTTAACCAACATGTCCCACATTCAATCTCCATGGTCTTTGTCCAGGTTCTGAGCTGCTTTCATACCATGTCCATTGTGATGTCCTCTAGAGATGTGGTGTTGCCTTATCTACCCTGATCCTATAGAGGTAGAGAATAGGGGTGTCTGTGTCTGCATGATTACAAAGCTGAGAAACCGTGACTCTTGGATGTATAGGTAACCTGTCCAGACTCATCCAGTTTGTAAATGGCAGAGCAGGAATATAAAACACCCGTCCATCTTATAACAGATAAGTCACCTGCCAGTTTCTGTTGCAACTGAGTTAGAAGCAAACAATCTTAAAACAGATCTTTCTCCAAAGCACTCCCATCATCTTCTGCAGCATGATTTCTTTAAGGGTTAGTAACTCAGTAGGAATGTAAGTAAACAAATATCCTGAGTATTTCACCTATGGGAGTGAATATGGCAGGTAACAATTTGTCTTCTGATATAATATTATTTGTTGAATTAGTCCTGGATTAGTTCTGAAAGAAAAATGAAATTGACCGTTAGGAAGTGAACCCAGTGAAAAGTTGCATAGCCAACTTCTATGAGATCTTGTCAGATTTACACATGTGAATTCTCACTCAGCATAGCTCTTGCTGTCTCCTCAAGAAACAAAGAAACTTTTTCCCATAGAGGAGTGTTTAACCAGTTGGTGGGCAGCAGTTTTTAGGAAGCCTCAAAGGTCCATAGCAGGCCAGATTTCACATGACCACCCCTGTGTTTTTCTCCTGTAACTGTACATTCAGCTTCCCCTGCACTTTCCCAAGAGCAACAGAAAAAAAACAAATGCCAGGTGAGTTGTTTATTCATTTCTTATGTTTCTATTGCATAAAATGATAAAAGATTACCATGATGAAAATTATCAAGGAATTTGTAGTTAACAGATCTAAAATAGGGAAAAGTCAACATATTAATTGTAAAGACATCAAGATAATTATAATAGTTTTATTTTAGTATGTATATATTATACATTGTGTTGTATAACTGTAATTATTATTAGTGACATGCAGACTTATCTCTGATACTCTGTGCAAAAGGACAATGCTTTGTTTTGACCATAAGGATAAACAAAAGAGGCCAGGTGTGGTGGCTCATGCCTATAATCCTAGCACTTTGGGAGGCCGAGGTGGGTGGATCATTTGAGGTCAAGAGTTTGAGACCAGCTTGGCCACATGATGAGACCTGGTCTCTACTAAAAATAGAAAAATTAGCCAGGCATGGTGGCGTGTTCCTGTAATCCCAGCTACTCAGGAGGCTGAGGTAGGAGAATCGCTTGAACCCTGGAGGCAGAGGTTGCAGTGAACTGACATTGTGCCACTGCATTCCAGCCTGCGTGACAGAATGAGACTCTGTCTCAAAAAAAAAAAAAAAAAAAAAAAAAAAAATGGATAAACAGAAGTAATTCTTCATGGAACTCAAAGACTTCCTGGCCTGAAGTCTAAGAAAATGTCTTTAACTCTCTTCATGAAAGTGATGTAGTTGACACCCTTAGTTAACAAGCCTGAAATGCATGCTGCCTGTGATTGCCACGCAAATTATTCTTTAGTGGCCCAGAAGGCAGAAAGTCAAAGGACAGCTCAATTGATTCAGGTTGTGGATTTCTTCTGTCTGCTTCATGTTCTTGTCTTCCTGGAGTTTTATAGCCTAGCATATTCCCAGGTGTTTTATAACTCTTACCCTCTTTTTCTTGACTGATTACGTACTCTCTAGATTTTTAACTATATCAAAGGATAAGGTAACCCCTCAAGAGCTGAAACACGAAACATGAATTTGGTGCCTTTAAAGTGATAGCTCTCAGTGATTAGATGTGCTCTCACTGAGCAAAGCAAACTGTTAATTTTCTGTAGAATTTTTGCAATATGTTGGTGTATTAATTTCCTGTGACTGCGGTAACAAATAGCCACAATCTTTTTGTTCTGTTAACAGAAATTTATTCTCTCCCAGTTCTGGAGCAGTCTGAAATCAAAGTGCCATCAGGGTCATGCTCCTGCTGACAGATCTAAAGGAGACTATTCCCCATTTCTTCTGGTGGCTGTCAGGAGAGAGGGAGGGAAATGGAATGGAGGGAAAACTTTAAGATGAAGAAAAATAACATGCCTTAAGCCCTGTGTCAATCACTATTCTCCAGAGAAACAACTGATAGAATATGGGTGCATGTGCCTGTTTTGTGTGTGTGTGTGTGTGTGTGTGTATTCATTTTAAGAAATTGGTTTATGTGATTATGGGGGCTGGTTGAGTGTAAAATTTGTAGGGCAGACCAGCAGGCTGGGAGCTAGGCAGAAGTAAATGCTGCAGTCTTGAGGCATAATTCCTTCTCTGAAATCCTAACCCCCCAATGCCTCAGAATGTGACTGTATTGGAGATAAGGCCTTTACAGAGGTATAAGTTAAAATGAGACCATTAGCGTGAGCCGTGATCCAGTCTAACTGGTGTCTTCATAAGAAAGAGAGATGAGAATATGCACCGGGGGATGTGCGTAGAGAGGATGACCTTGTGAAGAGACAGTAAGAGGATGACCACCTGTAAGCCAAGGAAAGGGGCCTAAGAAGAAACCAACCCTGTTGACACTAGGAGCATGACAAATAAATTCCTGTTGTTTAAGCCACCCAGTCTGTGGTACTTTGTTATGGCATCCCCAGAAAATGAATGTATACAAATAGTGATTCTATTTTTAACATTTTGAGGAAGTGCCATACTGTTTTCCATAGCGGCTGCATTGTTTTATGTCCCTCCAACAGTGAAAAATGTTCCAATTTCTCTCTATCTTCACCAACACTTTCTGTTTTTTAATAGTCATCCTAATAGCTGTGAAGTGAAGTAACATTCTCTTGAGTATAATTGAGCATACTAATAATCTCCAGTGTCAACAAAAACAGTCTCTTCTGATTCTTGATACAGTTTATTATTATTATTATTATTTATTTTTTAGACGGAGTCTTGCTCTGTTGCCCAGGCTGGAGTGCTGTGGTATGATTCTGGCTCAGTGCAACCTCTGCCTCCTGGTTCAAGTGATTCTCCTGCCTGAACCTCCTGAGTAGCTGGGATTACAGGTCTGTGCCACCACATCCAGCTAATTTTTGTATTTTAGTACAGGCGGGGTTTCACCACGTCGGCCAGGCTGGTCTCAAACTCCTGACCTCAAGCAATCCACCCGCCTCGGCCTCCCCCATTTTTTTTTTTTTTGGATAGTCACGTCTTCAGTTCATCTTGGTACATACGTAGTTTGTGTTACCGGTTCTCAAATTTCTAGTGAAACTTCTTCATTTTCCATTTACATTTATAAGTGAAGATTTGGTTTGATTAATGTAGGTGGCTATTGTGAGTTTAGTCAGAAATGTGGAATGCTGTTACTTCATCTGTTTACTTCCCTCAATGAAAGAGCTGACTTCAGGAATCTGTAAATGAAATCATTGGAAAGATGAACAGGGATAGACTCCCTCTCAGGTTTTCAACAGGGAGCATATAGGTGACTAAAGGGATTCTCCATGTCTAAAGTGCAGATTTCTCATACTGTGGCATTAGACCACTGTGATCTGTGTCATCGAAGACTTGCCTTAAAGCAAAATCTTTTTCTCTCTGGTTGATTTGGCCATAATCAGAGCCCCAAGTATTTACCCATGTTTACATAATACATTCTTTTTATCTGCTTTATCTTTCAGCTGCCGCTGTGCTTATACAGTGGCAGCTTCCTAAAGGGGTCTGATAGTCTTTCAGTTGTTTTCTCAGCTAGTCCTTCAGCACACTGCCCACTTGGAGCTCCGTGGTGTCTGGTGGCAATATACATATATATATGTATATATATACAAAAACATATATATTTTTTAAATTATATTTTGTGTTCTAGGGCACAAGTGCATAATCTGCAGGTTTGTTACATATGTGTACATGTGCCATGTTGGTGTGCTGCACCCATTAACTCATCATTTACATTAGGTATTTCTCCTAATGCTATCCCTTCCCCCTCCCCCTACCCCACAACGGGCCCAGGTGTGTGATGTTCCTCTTCCTGTGTCCAAGTGATCTCATTGTTCAATTCCCACCTATGAGTGGGAACATGCGCTGTTTGGTTTTCTGTTCTTGCGATAGTTTGCTGAGAATGATGGTTCCCAGCTGCATCCATGTCCCTACAAAGGACACAAACTCATCCTTTTTTATGGCTGCATAGTATTCCATGGTGTATATGTGCCACATTTTCTTAATCCAGTCTGTCACTGATGGACATTTGGGTTGGTTCCAAGTCTTTGCTATTGTGAATAGTGCCGCAATAAACATACATATGCATGTGTCTTTATAGCAGCATGATTTATAACCCTTCGGGTATATACCCAGTAATGGAATGGCTGGGTCAAATGCTTTTTCTAGTTCTAGACTCTTGAGGAATCGCCACACTATCTTCCAGAATGGTTGAACTAGTTTACACTCCCACCAACAGTGTAAAAGTGTTCCCATTTCTCCACATCGTCTCCAGCATCTGTTGTTTCCTGACTTTTTAATGATTGCCATTCTAACTAGTATGAGATGGTATCTCATTGTGGTTTTGATTTGCATTTCTCTTATTCAAGTGAGGATGAGCATTTTTTCATGTGTCTGTTGGCTGCATAAATGTCTTCTTTTGAGAAGTGTCTGTTCATATCCTTTGCCCACTTTTTGATAGGGTTGTTCGTTTTTTTCTTGTAAATTTGTTTGAGTTCTTTGTAGGTTCTGGATATTTGCCCTTTGTAAGATGAGTAGATTGCAAAAATTTTCTCCCTTTCTGTAGGTTGCCTATTCACTCTGATGGGAGTTTCTTTTTCTGTGCAGAAACTATTTAGTTTTATTAGATCCCATTTGTCAATTTTGGCTTTTGTTGCCATTGCTGTTGATGTTTTAGACATGAAGTCCTTGCCCATGCCTATGTCCTGAATGGTATTACCTAGGTTTTCTTCTAGGGTTTTTATGGTATTACGTCTAACGTTTAAGTCTCTAATGCATCTTGAATTATTTTTTGTATAAGGAGTAAGGAAAGGATCCAGTTTCAGCTTTCTACTTATGACTAGCCAGTTTTCCCAGTACCATTTATTAAATAGGGAATCCTTTCCTCATTTATTGTTTTTGTCAGGTTTGTCAAAAATCAGATGGTTGTAGATGTGTGGTATTATCTCTGAGGACTCTGTTCTGTTCCATTGGTCTATATCTCTGTTTTGGTACCAGTACCATGCTGTTTTGGTTACTGTAGCCTTGTAGTATAGTTTGAAGTCAGGTAACATGATGCCTCCAGCTTTGTTCTTTTGACTTAGGATTGTCTTGGCAATGCGGGCTCTTTTTTGGTTCCATATAAACTTTAAAGTAGTTTTTTCCAAATCTGTGGAGGAAGTCATTGGTAGCTTGATGGGAATGGCATTGAATCTATAAATTACCTTGGGTAGTATGGCCATTTTCATGATGTTGATTCTTCTTATCCATGAGCATGGAATGTTCTTCCATTTTTTTGAGTCCTCTTTTATTTCATTGAGCAGTGGTTTGTAGTTCTCCTTGAAGAGGTCCTTCACATCCCTTGTAAGTCGGATTCCTAGGTATTTTATTGTCTTTGAAGCAATTGTGAATGGGAGTTCACTCATGATATGACTCTCTGTTTGTTATTGGTGTATAAGAATGCTTGTGATTTTTGCACATTGATTTTGTATCCTGAGACTTTGCTGAAGTTGCTTATCAGCTTGAGGAGATTTTGGGCTGAGACAATGGGGTTTTCTAAATATACAATCATGTCATCTGCAAACACAGACAATTTGA